TACTTTTTTTAAGGGGGTTGGGGGGTATAATTTCACCTAGAGAGAACATTGGATACGAATTTGCAGTTTTGGATAGCTGATCAATGTCTGGGCAAGTGCTTCTAAATGTATCCCACTGTGTACATTCTAAGCAGCATTGGGGGTTTTCGGTCACCTCATCCGGTCACAATTCAGCAGTTTTGTTTTTGTTTTTGTTTATGAAACTGTTTTGTAGCACGGCGTTGGGCGTACCATTGTGTGATCAGATTCTCCAAGTGGAAAATAAACTGTGAGATGTGTAGACTTTTATGTTTGTATTTGACCATGACACAGATCTTGAGTTCGGTCTTGTGTGTGGAATAAACATACTGGGTGCAATTTGATTTGCTAAAATTAACAAACCTACATAAATTTATATCAGTTATCGACACGGATGTAATAAAGATTGGAAAGAGTTAGAAAGAGAGAATATAGCAAGAGACGGGAAACCTAGGGGAAAAAAAAATGTTGATTACACATGTCCCACTGGAAGTTGAAAAGGCAAAGAAGAAGAGACATACATTGACATGCCTACATTGTGAAGACACGTTCCTATACTGTTAAGGGCTTCGCACGTACTGTGAATTTCAACACCTATCTTGAAAATTGATTTCCCCTTGAGATGAACTGATTTGATATGATGATTACTTAACGCCCCATGCTTTACCAACCAGAGAACCAATGAGAATTCAAAGCTTGGCCAACCAGAGAACCAATGAGAATTCAAAGCTTGGCCAACCATAGAACCAATGAGAATTCAAAGCTTGACCAACCATGGAACCAATGAGAATTCAAATCTTGGCCAACCAGAGAACCAATGAGAATTCAAAGCTTGACCAACCATAGAACCAATGAGAATTCAAAGCTTGACCAACCAGAGAACCAATGAGAATTCAAAGCTTGACCAACCAGAGAACAAATGAGAATTCAAAGCTTGGCCAACCAGAGAACCAATGAGAATTCAAAGCTTGGCCAACCAGAGAACCAATGAGAATTCAAAGCTTGGCCAACCAGAGAACCAATGAGAATTCAAAGCTTGACCAACCATGGAACCAATGAGAATTCAAAGCTTGGCCAACCAGAGAACCAATGAGAATTCAAAGCTTGGCCAACCAGAGAACCAATGAGAATTCAAAGCTTGGCCAACCATAGAACCAATGAGAATTCAAAGCTTGACAAACCAGAGAACCAATGAGAATTCAAAGCTTGACCAACCAGAGAACCAATGAGAATGTAAAGCTTGACCAACCACAGAACTAATGTGAATTCAAAGCTTGACCAACCATAGAACCAACGAGAATTCCAAGCTTGACCAACCATAGAAACAATGAGAATTCAAAGCTTGACCAACCAGAGAACCAATGGTAACTCAAAGTTTAACCAGTCAAAAACAGCCATGTAACTATGGAAACAATAATTATGGTAGAATAATTATTAGAATTAATAGAATGTCCTGACCAACATCTCAGATCTTAATTCTCGTCACCGCATTGCATGGTGGTTGTGTCTTGGCGTCGCCATGGTAACACACGTCACATAATAACTTTAGAAGAAAGTAGTGTCAGTAAATAGACCAAAATTTGAAGAGGGCGACACTGGATCTCGTAACATTACGGCGTTCAAAAGTAGCTCAGCTACTGTTAGTATTTAGTTACTCCCATTAAGCACATGAGTATGCAACATTTGGCGTAGCTTTAGGTTACATTGGTTCATTTAAATTGTATCGTAATGTGTTCAGAAAACAATTTTTAAATATAAAGAAGGGTGGTTGTTATTTGTTTCTCAGAATCGACTTTAATTTATAATTGAAAGACAAAGCTATCATTTTTATGTTTTTATTATTTACCAACAGTATTTCTGTTTTATTTTAATTTAATTTTTGCAATTTATATAGTCTATACCAGGCCTGCACAACTCAAAATGTAAGGTGCGCCGTAATGCATTATGAAAAAAGTGTGCGGGCCAAAAAAATATAGATCATGGGGAAAGTTATTAAGAAAATAATGAGAATAACGAGTTTTTCGATACCTCGCGGGCCACAAAGTGGTTGCTGGCGGGCCCCATCCGGCCCGCGGGCCATATGTTGTGCAGGCCTGGTCTATACAGAAGTTTCATTCGTGCGATTTTTGTAACCTTAAAAACTAAAGTTTTACATGGACAACATTTTTTTTTTTTTTAAAGTATGTCATACGTTTACAGTTGCCATTGTGGTTATGAAACAATTCAGAACATTCACAAAATGGTGGTGGTTCCCCGACTAACAGTTTAGTGCCCCCCCCCCCCCATCCCGAAATGAGGAGGCCACTCTAAAATCAATCATCTCGTAAGCACTTCTATGTGATTAAGGCGCTTTGGTAATCGCTGACTCGGGCGGACTGAACGGTCTCCACTTAATGCCACGATGGCGCTAATGAAAGCTGTAAACCACTGGACCCGGTTGATAGCAGCCTCGCGAACATTCCATCTCACAGGGGCGGACTTTTAATCCAAACCACCATTTTGTTTTCAGTTAAGAAAGTCTTCAAGATCTTGTTCTTCCCCAAAACTCCCCACAACTAATGACAAAATGACCGTGTAAGAATAAGACTATTTCGTTTATCTTCTTTGGACTGACTTCGTTCCATGTGTAACTAATTGTGCATTTGAGACATTGCTTGATAATAAATTCATTAAAATTAAAATGCAACCACCCATTTGGTGGCGTATTTTGACAAGATGTTTATTTTTGGGGGCAAAATTCCAGATTTGCTATTTTCCCCTCACACATCGACTGTATGAAATTGATACCGTACTGAAAATTCATAAAGGAACATACAGCACCGCAAAACTCTAGTATTAGTCGGACAAAATCTCCCTTTATCTACGCCCCTGAACCATGTGATAATTTTCCTCTTTACATTTTACTTTTACAAATTTTTTAATTACAGCTTTTGTGATAAAGGGATTTTAGCCAAACTTTCCTGGAATCACGTATCGATTGTGAGGTATGACAACGTCAAATTAAATAATTAGGTTGCGATCAATTGTTTGGTTTTCTTGATAACTTGATATCAAGCAGAATTATTTATTTTTTTTTAAACAACATAAAAACAAAAATAGCCTAATATAGTCGATTATATCGGCCACCAATGTCCTCGTTCAGGGTATTTGATTATTATGCTCATTTATTTATAATCTTTAAATTATCACTGCTAATTTCTACTAACAAATTAAACAATACACTTTCCACTTCTTGCAGTGGTGAAGCTAGGGGGCTGCGGACCGACCCGGGTGACACCTTCTCAGTGGGTCGGCACCAAGTTCAAAATTTGTATATTTGCAGAGCACGAACTGCTCGGTCTAACCGAATTTCACAAAGGATAACTGATCACACGTAAATTATCCACACATGTAACCAATCCAAATGCGTGCTTTATTAAAAGTTCAAGGTTGTTGCGTCAGAAATGAGGTGAACCTATAATTACTTTAATTAGGTCGGTAAAACACCGTTTTTATCATGATTCAACGCAGATTCAAGTGTTCGGTAACTTTCTTGACAGTAAGCTATATTTATCTGAATTCTGGGAAATAAAGCTTTCCATTAATAATAATGTGGTCAGGCGATTCTATGTACGTGTTACAGTTCTTTACAATATTTACCACCTGACTAACCTTCAATTATTTTTTCTTTGTTCTTGTAATTGCTAAACTGTGGACTTATTTTAACAAGAAACCCATCGTGGAAGTAGGTGATAAGGGTTGGGGGGGGGGGGCCTGGGGGGAGGCGCCTGGTGACACCATGAGTTTACCGCACCAGGTGACATCAACCATAGCTACGCCACTGACTTCTTGTGCGGGTAGCGAGATTTTAGGATGTTTTCAAAAATATTCGTTTTTCATGGATTGCTTGATTGAAGTCATTGATACTGTGCGTGACTGACGTCATTGATAGTGTGCGTGTCCCGCCTCTATGTGTATGGAATTCCGAATGCCCAACTAAAAGTGATCATGTAGTAACGTTATTACTCTCCAGTCCTTATACGCCTACCCACTCACTTGGTCTGAGCGAGGGAAACGCTTAACATCAACGCATGTTCAACTTTGATCGATTGGCTGTTCTCACGTCATGTGACTGGAAGTGTGGGCTAACCTTAATATTTTTCAATCTATAATTTACAATTTTTTTTTCGGTAACCTTAAGAGTGTTGGGCATGCATTATAGTTATAGAATTGTAGCAATGCACCAGCTCTGAATTTTAAAGAGAAAAAAAGTGTGTGTGGTTGGGGGGGGGGGGGGGTTGTCTGGGTGATAGTTGATGGCATTAATAAAAACCCTTTCCACACCAAAGGAACAAAGCCGATAGTGACAATCTGTTGCTTCCTACTCATACCAGGTCTGAATTTTAAAGAGAAAAAAAGTGTGTGTGGTTGGGGGGGGGGGGTGGTTGTCTGCGTGATAGTTGATGGCATTAATAAAAACCCTTTACACACCAAAGGAACAAAGCCGATATTGACAATCTGTTGCTTCCTACTCAAGAGGCGATGATGACTATAAATTATAGTGTAAAGTAAATAACTTACGGTCAGGCTGGCATTCATCACGATGAAAGGTGTTGATATACAAATTATTTAAAAAGTATAAGGAATAACACCGGGGAGGGGGTGGGTGTGGGGCCAGAGACGGCCGTCAAGATTTTTAAAAGGCTATAACTTATAACAGTAACACTACGGCCAAGGGCAAACTTGAAAGAGTCAGCGCAAATCTATTAATATAAGGGGAGCTAATCATCTTCAAACTATTTCTTTGTACCAGGGAGTAATCATTGCAGGTTAGAATAGTTTGAGTGTTCATTTTTTCTATACATCTGTATACTTGATTTTGTAAAACTGGATGAACGGGTTAAAATTAATCAGCTGGAGTGTATATTCCATTGATCTTTGATTGGTACCAACTACTTGACAGTAAAATAAAATAAAAAACCAACAGCCCAATCAAATTTCACTCTTCAAATATTAATTGTATGTTTTTAATAGATTAAAAGAACATATTTTTTTTAAATTTAATACAACCCGGAGATGGGTCCAAAATATGTTTTATTTGTACATTTCCATAAATTAATACAACATAACTAATCAATAAGTGATGTTCATCATCTATCATTTCTTGCAAACACTGAGGTTTAATTCTTCTCATCAAATTGTTGATACATTCAGAAAAAGGCAGAAATGTGTTTCAGGTTGATCCATGGTGGAAATCTCTGGCTATGGTGTACAAGATCCAGATTTTTATTAGAGTGAGTGTTCTACGACAGAGGTCGATCAGACTTTCTCCTAACATTGACAGATTACTTGTTGCCATCTTTTTTTTTTATCTCTTTCGGAATTGTTCTTCCATCTTTTTTCAAACACAGTCACCTTGACGTTCACTAACACATAAGCGAAAATATTGATAAATTATGAAAACTTCTTTCCTCCATCAAAAGACTGACTTCCACCAAAACTGCCCAACATATAATCCTTTTCACTTCTATGGTAACATGGAACCTGGAGCTATGCACCCTTGATGCACACACAACCAAGATGCAGGAGTTTCAGTACTGCTTGTTTTGGAGCATACGGTAAGTCACACATCCAACATGCACTAAAGCTGACCACCAATACAACTTCATCTTTTGCAGAAAACCACACCCACCTCTGAGGCTCTAACCAGGGCTGTAGATGTAGACAATAAATTTACTTCCAGACATACACTAGTAGACTTGTGGATAATGAAATACTGCCAGATCAGAGGTGCCTCTCACTGAAAGCTGTGAACTCTGAAATCCCTTTCTAAAAATTTCTTGAAACCTGAAACTTCATTTACAAATTTTTTAAACCCTGAAACTTAACGCAACTCATAAAATCCATACACTAGAAAAAACAAACCAAAGCCAGAGGCTTGCAAACAAAAGCGAGAGGTTGCAGTAGATGTTCTATTTATAATAGCGAACCCACTCTCTGTGAATAGGCTTTCGCACATTCTTACACTTTTATTTTTTTTTTAAACCCAGAATCTGCATTTAAATAAACTGAACTGAGAAATCCGGAGCGAGAGAAAATAAAAACTCGCGAATCCGGAGCTGAAAAATATTTAGCCTCACGAATCTGGAATTCTGGGATAATCTGGAAAAGTGGCATCCCTGTGCCAGATCATCACAAATCAAATTCAGACTTGTTTCTGTGGTATTTTCCTATACATAAATACAATCTTAGTGCTGTAATCATGGCACAAAACAGTGACAGCAACTTACTGAGAGCAACACAACATTTAAGCACTTCAAGCAGGACTGCAGAGTCAAAGTTTCAAGAAATTTGATCAAGCAATGTCTGTATAAATTCATGGTGATGAGCTTCTGTTTTTTTATCTTCATCCACAATAAATCAAACATCAGTAACTAAATAAGATAACAACTCAAAGAAGCTATTATTATCAAGTTTTTTTGGTACCATGCCTGTCATATTGTAAAATTTTATTGGAGCTCTTCAAACCAATTTCAAATTAAACAAATCACAGTAACTTATTGTAACACCACAGAGTAGCAGTACCAGTAGTTACTTGCATATCAGAATTGTGCCAGAAAAGAGAATTAACAAGTCAAATTATCATTTATGTTAATGCAGTCCACTTCAGATGAAATATTTGAACATCAATAATTATTTTATGAAAGTACTTGCATGTATGTGCCACGTTTACTCCACATTATGGTTTATGAATTTGGCAGCGCTAACTCTTGTTTGACCGTTTGCATTGAATCATGATGGCTAGAATTAAACATTTCATTCAGGACAGGAGGCAGAACTCCTAGCATCAACCACAATACATATTAAGTTTAAATATATAAAATTTAAATCTTTATGAGTACGGCACACGGTGTGGACACTTTTTTTTATTTCAAAGGCTTTTGCCTTATTTTGAGTTCCTCCAGTGTTGGCTCAAGGCCATGAACGATTCTCAGCAATCTTGCCTCCCTCTGGTTGCGGTATCTGTTCTCCAATTGAAAATGTTTCAAGGTTGAAGGTAACTTGAATTTCATATTTGGATCAACATACTTCTTGAGGGGAATCTGAAATGAAATGTTTACACATTATTGAGCAACTACCACAACACTGTTGGTAATTAACATGATGAACAATAGAATGAATTTGCTGAATAAAAACAGGACAAATTTTAATTCACTACAGTCTAAGTAGAAACCTTTCAAAATAATTCATTCTAATTTCTTGCGTTTGATACATATTCCTAATGCATGAAACACATTTTTTTTTTAAAAGTCCACTTTTACTTCTTAGAGCCCAGCACATGTAGCAATAATGTGATGTACTTGCAATCAACTCACCCTCCCATCTTTGTAGTACAAGTTATCAAAGTCAAAAGCCTCTTCCTTTAATGCGTCAGGCCTAGAGAACCCTTGGCTTGGGGTGGCCACGGGGATGGGAATGTTTTCCATTTCTGCTCGGTACTCCACAACATTTAATCCCATCCTATCTGCCAGCTGCTGGTGAGTTTCCTGTTGGGTAAACATTCAGACATTGCAGTAGTGTCTCTTATTGTCATTCAAATGACTGTCAATTTTAAAAATGTTTACATTTATACATGTCCATTCAACAGGTGTAGAATTACATGTTTAAAAAAATGAAATTTTTCATAAGCAATGCCTCATCAGCTGATCAAAGAAATAAATCAAATATATGTCCTATAGTTTTACCTGCTCCATTAGACCCCTGAAGAATGCCTTCGTCACATTTTGGATATTGCCTGTTCGCCCTTCAGTTTTAACATACAAGTCTTTGATACCAATGATTTCACACATTGTCTTTATCACACGATGGGAGATCACTCCATGACCTGAATCCAATATTTTAAATCTTAAAAGATAACTTCAAAGACGGTGATACATTTTTAAAATCTTAATCAATATTTGCATAGATTAGTCTGGACCCTAAAAAGTAAATATTACACTCAACTGAATATCCTATAAATATAAACAATAATATAATTACAAAAAAATTTGTTTCTATAAAAATTAGTTATAAACTAAGTATGAGCTGTTCTAGTTTCCAGATTTTTTAATGTTTAGCTATGTACAGCCAGTGCTGGACAACCTATGCAACTTACGACCATTCGACTTTACGACCACAATCACTAGCCATAGTAGTTAGATTTCATATTTATTTCTGCCTCAGTGATCGGTCGAACTGCGTTGTCTGCAATCATCGGCGGTCGTTAACTAAGGAAAGGGAGGCATGATGCTGTGATGATGCTATGCTGCTAGCCGGAGTCATCAATCAATAATCCTAGGTCCATTGAATTCCCCAAGCCCTGCTAAACCTTGTTGATTGGAGAGCTCTTCAGAGTTTAAAAAATTGAACTCCCATCTCCCATTATGATTTATAACAATAATAAAAGAAATGTATGATATGATTTAACTGAAATATTTTTATAACATCACTTCACATAACTGTACACAGTGTACTCAACTTACAACCAGTCTTTCGGAACCGATCGTGGTCGTAGTCGAGCACTGGCTGTCGGTTATATCATTTTGGTACAAAGCACCTTTCTAAGAATTTGGGTACACAGCAGGTTGTTGCATGACAAAACACTGGTTAACAATAATTTACCTTTTGATTTTTTCTGTACAAATAATGTTGTCTTTCCTTCTGTCACAGCAAAATTATGAAATACTGTGGAGAATTTCAAAGTCATTAAAACTTTAAACCTTTAACTCTGTGGTACCATCAAAAGTTAGTTCATTTAATTGCCAAAGATTATAAATAAAGCTTCAATGAATATATGTATGACCTCAGTTGAATTTTTGCTGAAATCATTGGCTGAAATCACTTGCCTCAAGGAATAACAATGTCATTAGCCCTCGTTTTTTGTTGTTTTTTTTTGTTTTTTTTTTTATATGAAAACTGACAATAACATAAAATTTAACTGATTTTCAGCTAATTTGCTGCCACATTCCAGTTGTGAGTATTTAGAATTGAAATTTGTCAATAACTCATTTGCAGGTGTAATAAGGGTAAATTTGGTTTAATAAAATAAAAAATAGTTATACTATTAGCAACAAATATCACTTTTTTGCTGTGCATTTTACCAGGGGTAATTGGCTGAGTTGATCCCCTAAATATTATGTGCTTAAAAATATATCAAGGTAAGCAACAACTGAAGAAAAAACACATTAAAATAAAATCTCTATGTACTACCAAGGCAGCCGACAGAGAGGAAAAGCCAGAAGCAATTTTCAAGGCCTAGAGGCCAAATTAGAAATGTCAAATAATGAAGTAACAGATTTGTCTGACGGTATGTTGTTTAATTTTTTGGGCCAGTAGCCCAAATGCTGAGTTTTTTCCAGGCCTGAAAATTTCTGTCCATAGCAAAATCTTTTAAAAGAAAATGCGCTGAAAATATATCATATCTGGTGGGGAAAGAACAATTCGGAAATGGTAAATAAATGTAATACTTGCCTGTATGATCATTGTATCTTTCAAAATATTGTAATCTCTGAGCTGCCTTATTTTTTGCCTGTGAATGATTTTTAGGAAAGTTTTGACACAATTCGGGAAAATCAGCATGTAAATGATTTACATAGCGCAGATTAATCTCTAAGTTATATTCTTAAACTAGATCCTTTTAGGACAAGTGTAAGCTTTCAAAAGGAACAAAAATAAACTATTAAAGGATTTATTGCTACAACATTTAACTTTTCTACACAATGAATAGAAAATGACTGTATAAAATTACACGTCACACCTTTCTCAATGCAGCTTTTCCAGTAGGAGCTTTTGCTACTGCATAACCTGGTAAATAGAAAAGTCATTTCAATTATAAATAGGCTTTTTAAATGGTGCTAGGAATATTTATCAGACACAAGGAAAGTACTACCTTATAGAATATAGACACAACGACTCGCTCTTTTATTATTTCATAGAATTTATGTATCAAAATGTTTTTTTACACTTCCCTAAAAATTATAAAATAATTTGGTTACAGATTAAATGAGACTTTAATTTTGTATCCTCTTGAATAAAAAACCCATAAATACACTTTGTAATAATAACAAATTTTGTATCCATCGGATTTTGTGAAAATTTGGGTATATAGATCAGATAACCCATTCCTGCTAATTGCCCCTTCACACTGTCCTGCTTTTATGCATGCTTACATAGCACAGTGCAATATGTTGCACACATTCATAACAACAAGCAAATTAACTACAGCACTGAAGTTTATGACAACTCTGGCAAGTCTTCTTGAGGAGATACTTTGTTGGTTTTCTCAATGTGCAAAACTAATTTGCAAGCACTAGACGTTGAATGTTCAACATCAGATTTTATTTTTATTGGTAAATTGTACATGTAATTCTATATTTTATCTTGAACATTTAAAATGCATTCATATAAAAGTTAAAAGCAATTAAAGTAAATTATATTTCACTTAATATTTTTATAATGCATAGTTCTCATAAGAGCCACTTGGCCTGGCCACAAAGACAGAATACAGTCAACCGTAGGTCAGTCATAAATGAGAGGACAAATAGCTGATCCACAATTATTTTGACCTTTTTGACACTGACCTGCAAGACCAGCTCCATTGCCAGTGACTACTAGAGCACTTATTGTTGCCTTTCGCCCCAGATTGCCAGTCATATGAGCCACCATTTTGTACTGAAATAAAAATGTGTTTATCTCTTTTGAAGATAATATAATTCCAAACATAACCACAACAATGTTGAATATGAACTTCTATACCTGGTATATCATTTTTTGGGTCAGCTAAATGTATTTGATTTAAGTTCAAGTAAACTCACCCACAACAACAATTTTGAATTTGAATCATTTCCATTGGGTGGCCAATTGTATTGTTTTAAGTGCAAGTAAGCATCCCATCAATAACTATTTTTTTTATTGAGTTACCGGTACATGCTACTGGATGTCAAAATCTGTGTAAACTTACCTCCAAGACTTTTGAATCAAAACCAGTGAACTCATCTGTGAGAAAATAAAAATTTGAAGTAAAAACATGGTTCTAAAGTAATATTTTTTAATAGACAATATACTAGTATATTTTTTAAAAATATCAAAATTATCAGGCAAATTTGCTCTCATATTAAATTAACTCTTGAAATATGTGTACCCCTTTCCAATCAGAAATGTTCTTACCAATTTTGCACCTTCTTTCCCAATTACTCTGCATATCACTTTATCGGTATCAATAAATATACTATTAATGTGTTGGATTTAAACCTAAAATCATTTTAAGGATAAGTATGCTTTTACAGGATTTTTATCAAATATGTGCTAAATTAGAAATAAGCGATTTTTTTTCATATATTTACTTCCTTCCCCCAGCCCAACCCAAATCCCAGTCTATTGTTTCTGTGACTTTGTCAGTGTTTACACAATGAAACTGACATCTGGTAACTACCATTTTTTCCTGAGCTGTCAAATCTTCAGTAGCTTGAAATGAGGTAACCAACTCTTTCAAGGAAACACATAACAATGTATCTTAAGTTTGCCATGTTTGAAATAAGATATTAGAAACTCCTGTACCAGTAAAATAGCTTATAGGATAGCTACAGCAGCTTCCCCTAGTACTAATTAAGATTAACACCTTTTTAACAAATGTCTGCTTTGCAGAGAATAATTTTTCAAAACAAGTATTATTATGCCCACTAATGACACATGTACCACTGCCGGTTTCCATATGTGCCGCTTAGCATATCACATATTGCATTAACACTTGTATGACATCAAGCTATGAAGTGAGTCTATTGACATACTACTAGCTACAACACTTGTCAATTCAAAATACTCTGGCCTCATTGTACATCTCTAGGAGTGAGCAGGACAATGCTAGAAAAAATGTTCCAATTTCATGTAAAATGTGTATTAAATACAATTTTTTGGAAAGTGGCGTTCTCATTTCAGGCAGTACCCCCCCCCCCCGTACAGGAGCCATCAATAAAATATGTCATGATATTTTTGACAATTTCAGTCCCCCCTTTCCCTGTTGCAAATATCTGAGACCCCCACCTCCTCAAAACCCAAAGTAAAATGTACCCAGGGACAGCCTGAAATTATTATATTTAATACATGTGTTTTACATGAAATCTGAACATTTTTGCACCCTCTAAAGTTGATACTGAGATCGAGATCCCCTTCATCCCTCCCCTTTATCCCATGGCCCTCGGCCTGAGATTTTAATGTTTTAGTCTACAGTTAGCGTTGACTTCTTTTTCTCTAACTAGAATAATAAATGTGGTTTACACATAGGTCTACTCTCTTCTATATATAAAGGGACCACAATCAATTTATTGATCAATCTGGCTCCTATGCACGTAGAGGGGATTTGCAAGTTTCTGTGCCGGATGTTGAGGAGGATATTTCACTGGTTGCAAGGGCTACTCAGTGGGGGTTGGAAGGCCTGAGGCAATAGACGCAAATGTTTCAAGTATTTTCGCCTCACATGTTCCTTTTGGAAGCTTGTTCCACTCCCTGATTGTCTTTGGCAGGAATGAGCAGTTCCTGAACTGGTTTCTTGCTGGTATGAGCTGGAACTGCCTTTCATGGTCTCGTCCTTGTCAATGGGGGAGAGGGACGAGTTTCTGTTTAATGCTGGAGCAGTGGACCAGCCCAATTGTTATCTTGTACTTCATGGAAAGCCTGGATAGTTTTTCCTCCAACGGTGACCAGCCTAGTGTTTCCAGCATGCTGCCAACATTAGAGGTATTCCTGTAGCGGTTTAGGACAAAGCGGGCTTCCTGTCACTGGACTGCCCCAACCTGTCGATGCTCTTCTGGCTAAATGGGTCCCAGACGAAAGATGCATAATCTAAAAGTAGCAGGACAAAGGCTTTATAGGCTTTTTCTTTCACACTGGAGTTGCTGATCTTAAGATTTCGCATTAAGAACCGTAGTGTCTTGTTTGTCTGGTTGCACACATTGTTAATCTGCCAGACCTCTCTTTGAATGGTAATGCTGAGGTACTTTACGGAGGAAACTGGCTCAAGTATATGGCCATGCAGTTCATATTGGTAGTGTAGAGGACTACAACTTCTTGAGATTGACAGTGTCTGGCACTTGGCAGGATGAAATTCCATGTCCCAGCTCATCTTCCACTCAGCTAAACGATTGAGATCCTGTTGTAGCTGGTCTTGGTCAGATCTGTTAGCGATCGTCCTATACACCAACGTGTCATCTGCAAACAGTCTTACTTAGGATGTCAGTTTCTCAGGTAGGTAATTGATGTATGCTAGGAACAAACAGGGACCTTGCACCGAGCCTTGGGGAACCCCTGACTTAACACGACAAAGGAGGAGCTTGTACTGTCCACCACTAATGCCTGGCATTGGTTGCTGAGGAAGCTAGAGATCCATGTTTTAGTAGTGCCTTGGATCCCATATCTCTGAAGTTTGTGTAAAAGTAACGCATGATTGACAAGGTCAAATGCATTTGAGAAGTCCATAACCAGCATGTTAGTTTGCTTGGTCCAGATTGGTCATCAAGTCTTCAACAAATTCAAGGAGCTGCGTTTCACATGATCTATTGACTGGGAAGCCTTGTTGACAGTCAGTGAGTATATTTTGGCTTTCAAGATGCTTCAAGACTGCACTTAAGATTATGTGCTCCAACACTTTGCATACCACGCTGGTGAGGGATATCGGACGATAGTTGGCAGGGTTGGAATGCTCCCCTTTCTTGTAGATTGAAGTGACATGCGCTATTCTCCAGTCTGCTGGAACATAGCTTGTGCATTGTAATGATTGGAAGAGGATTGTCAGTGCAGGAGCGATTTCTTTGGCTAATTCTTTGAACACTCATGGTTTGATGTTGTCAGGACCACATGCTTTGTAGGGGTTAAAAGTTTTGAGGAGGGCAAGCACACCCTGCTCTGATATCTGGATATCTTCCATGACTGGGTGGGCTCTGTTCATTATGTTGGTCTTCAGAAGGAACTCAGCCTCAGAGTACTCTCTACCATCACCAAAAGACAGACTGGAACTGCTGATTGAGTATGGCCGCCTGTGCTTTTGGGTCAGATGTCAAACGGCCACCCCACCTCAGAGGGCAAACTCTATAATTCTGTTTCTTAAGCTTTCTTGACAAATAAGCTCCACATAAGCACTTAAAAGTTTGATGTCCCCCAAGTGGAAGAGCAATAAAATAAAGAAGTCTTGACCGACTCTGCTTGAAACTTAAATACACCCTTATCTTTCACAGTCAATAATAATATGTCCCCCATAATCTTCCAATTGGGCCCCAGTAGGCATAGACCTTATGCTGGGAAAAAATAGCTCTAAGATTGTGATTATGTTATATTATGATTATTTTCATATATTTAATATATTATAAACTTGATAAAACAGTGCAATAAATTAGGCCTTACCACAATTTATACTTAGGCCCCTCTTATTGGCATCTAAAAGCTATATTCTACAAAATTATTATTCGGCGGCCAATTAATGGGTAATCTGTGCATTGAGTGCAACCCTCATTCTAAAACAGTATCATTACCTGCTTTGATTTATTATATTCTGTTGACAATCAATTCTAACTAATAAGTTGTTATAAAACTTGTACTTGTGTTATTTGTATTTTTATTTGGCTATAATTTATTTTTTGAACTGCTATCAAAATTAAGGATTACTGGTTTTGAAGATTTGCATCCTCATTTCCTGTCAAATTATTTAATTGTTCCAGATAGTTTAACACTAACAAAAATCCAGCAGCTAATAATTAAGAAATAAAGAAAGATCCTTAAAGCTGCAATGCAAATATTTTTGGGACAGCTTTTGATCACTTTGTTTAAAACACAGCCTGATCATTTCATTAGATCAGGCCTGCACAACATGCAGCCTGCAAGCCGCATGTGGCCCGCCAGCACCCACTTTGCGGCCCATGAAGTAACCAAATATTCCTTTTTAGACATTGTTTTCTTAATAGCTTTCTCCCCTGTCCTATTTTTTTTTTCGGCCCACACAAATTTTTCATAAAGCATTACGGCCCGCCTTAAATTTTGAGTTGTGCAGGCCTGCATTAGATCATAATATGATCATTTCATGTACAAAACTCACAATCATTAATGGGATCTGGGGGGCCAACACTGGTTCCAGGGAATTTCCTGCCACTGTATCCACGCTGAAATAAGATTGCATGGTAAATCAATTTTTCAGGTTTACTGAATTTATAGATATGTGGCAAAATTTAAATACAGAAAATATTACTTTTATTTTGTTCAATTTTTTACACACCTTTTTGTCGACATTGTCATTCTGTTAAATTTCATTGATTGAAAATTTCACTAACTTTACCTCAGTACTCATGGTTTATATAATTAAAGTGTTGTTCTGACATAGAAAAAAACAGTGCACTATAAATGTATCAACATGGGTGGCACTCCAACCTAACTTACAACTGTCAACCTTCTTATAAGCTTAAACTAATGGGCACATATCCCTTCAAAATATTTTTTTTTTAATTATTAAGAAATAAACGTTAAAATTAGCAAGGTATAGAACAACATTTAACTTAAAATATCTTGAAGTTGAAGCTCACATACCAAGGTTAATTAATTTAATGTTATTTACCGTTAACATTTCAGTAAAATAGTCTTTTAGGTTATGTACCGTTTGACTATTTTACTAAAATTGGGGAGGGGGGGAATAAAACAGTTACCAGAAGTGGTGGCACTTTAAGAAACTTCCTTCTTGGCCTCTCTATTGGACGCGGTTCTTCTTCCTGTTCCTTGGATTTATGAATCTCTAAAAATTTCTTCCCTGCTAATGGAGGCCCAGTCAGTCCTGGGAAGACCATTCTAGTCTTACCTTTAGATTAAAAAAATTGTAAGAAATAACTGATTTAAAATATAATTTTGCTATGCATGATACATATTACGTACTAGATATCATTTACCAATTTATTTCTACACACTAACTTGTCATAACCTGGAATAAGGTTTCTTTATTTATTAAACTTTCAACACATTTTTTTTTTAAATGGCATCTGTTTAAAATTAGGAGCTTTTTAGCAGCAATGATTGCAACAGATATGATAATCTTGATGAGAAGGGTCAATTTCAAATATCACATTTAAGTTAAAATAATTTTGATATATTATTAATCCAAAGATTTATTTTTTAAGCTCAGCAATTTTTCTAACATGAAAGTTTTTAAGAGAGCACTATATATTTCTAAAGTACACATTCCTAAGTGCAACTTTGACATGTATCTGAGGTGAAGGCCTCTTAAATGAGGCCTCTCAGTACACTCAGTAGATGAAGGTTTGTGTATGGGTAAAACAATTTTACTTGCCAAATCCCATTCTTTGACCTCTGTTGAGATCAATTCTTTTCTTCAAACTCCGAGCTCGACCTCGTTTCCTACCAGCATTACTTACACTAGTAACACCAAGCCATAACTGATCAGCAGTCACTGAAATAATGGCAATAACATTTACTTTTTTTAATGCAATAAGTTAAAGCTCATGAATGAGTTAATGAAAATAATTGCTAGGTTCTACAGGTCAAGCTATTAATGTTGGTACATCTTATGTGATAGTAATTCATAAAAAACAGTTACAGATAAGTATCACATATAGAATAATAAAAAAATTCACTCTATTTAAAGCAAAGCCAAGATGGAATATGAAACTGGAAATTATAGAATCAACAAACTGCTCAGTTCTCATTAGTTTCATCTGTTGATATAAAATGAAGAAGCCAACATATTAAGCCTTAAAAAAAAAATTATAACAAGAAGTTTGTGGTTATGCAGCTTACCTGTTTTAACAAAACTAGTATATGTGCGAGAGAATATTAAACTAAAGCCTTGAGTTGATGCTGTCATTGTAGATACTATTTGATTGCAGCAAATTTCTGTTTAAGAAAAATAAGAAAGATTTAGAATAACTAGTCCAAAGAGCCCAATTTATCATTTAGATAAGGACTGCTTTTTAATACCAAAACCTTCATTGGTTGCCATCTTTTGTCTTAGCGGAAATTATAAAAATCTTTTCCTGCTAGACTTAACCCTATTCTCTAGTGTTCATGAGAACATGAAAGAAATGTTATGGTCAACATGGATTATGGTGCTGAGCATTAACTCACCTGAATAGGTTCACTGGACTTTTTCTAGTAGGCATAACATTATTTTGAAGCCATGAATAGAAATAAAGTAGTGTTTGACTTAGGCTTCATCATCAAAAAATTAAATATAGCCTGTGGCTAAATAAGATTAAGAGGTTTAGGCTGCAATATGCTTGGCCTAAAAATTTTTTCAATAAAGTTTATTGTCCTTGAAAGACAAATACTTTTGAGGAGTGTAGCCTACAACAGACATCTCAAACATGCAGCCCTTTGGAGATCATGCTGTCTTTGCCAGCATGTGTGTGGCCTGCACAAAGGATACTGTAATTTGTTCATTTAATTGACAAAATTTCAGTTGTTATAATTTAAACTAGATAAATGTTGACATCACTGGAATTTTCTGCAATAATTTTTATTAAATTACTTAAATTAGTTGTGTGGCCCTCATGACAACACAAATGTGACCTATATGGCCCTGGAGAGACCCTGAGTTTGACACACCTGGCCTACAATACATAACCTAATCCAGTATACAAAATACAAGCCTGAGGCAGTAAGGGGGAAGCTTATGAAGTAAAAATAAGACGTCTACATTTTTTTTTAAGTTGGTAGGGTCAATCAAAAGTTTTAAGTTAGGTCTAGTATTTATTAAAAAAACAAATTGGGTTTCCCAGGGCACAATTATGACTATGAACATTAAATTTTATACAACACTTCCTATTTCTGCCCTTGCACTGACAACACCCCATTCATAACATATTGTCATCAGATTACAAGTCATCTTAAAATATCTTTAAAAAAACTCTGTCTTAAATTTGATGTGCACAGTTTGTAAAAATCTGCAACTGAGACTATGTTGTGTGAGGTAATGACGACAGGGTCATTGGCAGATCTTGCCACATTGACATTAGTTAGGTGCATATCTGAGAGATTCAATAATTTATTAATAAAGCTGATCTACATTCATTGTGAATAATGCTTTGGTATGGGTCAATTTGAGGAATATTTTACCATGAATCTATCCATTGTGTATTATGCTGAGGAGACTACCCAAAGCCAGTCTTAGTTATATAATTTGTTCTTTGTATTTTAATGTAAAAATAATTTGACCTACGCCAGGCTCAACTCACAACTCATACTGAGGAGACTTGAGTTGTTTGATTCAGTGTAGGCACTCAGGTAAAGCAAGGGAGACTACTAAAAGCTTTGTATAGGAAATGGGCGTTGGCACAAGAAAATCCAAATTTTAAATTATTTTTGATGGTGCTATTTCATTCATTAAAAAATTATTTTGTATCAAAATTGTGTTTTGTTTCCATCATTTCTTTTTCATTTACTATCAGGTATCTTTTTAAAAAATCCTTGGATAATAAGGGACTCTTATCATTAAGATTAAGTTGAAGATTAATATTTACCCATTTCATTTTTATTATAGCCCTCAGGTATCTATTGATCAACATGTGTGAAAATTTTCATATTTCTTTGTGTTTTATGTTTGAGCAGTAAAAAATGTAGGCATTTGTTGCTCTGCCCAACTTCACTTGGATGTGAACACCATCTTTTTAATGGTGGAAGATGATGATACTTTAGAAATATTCAATTATTACCACTATTTACATCAAAATATATTTGATAAATTGTGTTTTAGAGTGAACTTAGAAGGCATTTAAACTGAATATTTTAATTTGAAGTTTAAAAGCATGGTAGAGTTCATATTATAAATTATCATAATAAGCCGTCAGTGCCATTGTCATGCATTATTCTCATAGTTTCATTCATAAGATATTGCAGTGTGCAACACTATCAAATCATTGGTCAGGGAAACTTTTAATTAATTACGCATGTGCAAAGTTGAATGATCAAAATAAGTAGTCCCAAACAATATTATTTTTAGGAGAACGACTTGCCTTACATTTACATTGACAATAAATATATATTATATAATGGACGCCTTAGACTTGGACAACAGAACATCCATATCCTATTTATTAAATTTACAAATAATGCATATTATTATTATATGACATAGCTAGATAAGTTACAATTTAGTTATAATTGCATGATATTGATTGACCTACATTGATATTAGGGGCCGTCCATAAAGTATGTCACTTTCCAGAGGGGGGAGGGGGTGTAAGAAAGTGTGATAGTTTGTGACAGGGGGGGGGTGAGGGGGGTCAGGCCATGTGTGACGTCACATTTTTTAAAAAAATGTATTGTTTATTTTTTTAGTGGAATTTAATAGCTTTAAAAAAATTGTCAAAAATTTTGTGTATCACTTGAATTAGTTTTATGTCAAAATAGCACGAAATGAGTATCTACTGAATATGTTGTTCACGATTCTTCTCGCTAGGAGCGCTAGTATGCTTTTGCAAAGCCTTGTTTTATGTATAGCCTTGCTTTCATCTTTCCTGAAGTATTATTATTTCTATGTTGTCCGCTGCATAATTCTGTCACTGTCCTTTTTATTATTTAATCATTTGATGAGATCAAGTTTCTCTAATATACTTCTTAACCTGTGTAAAAAGATTGCATGATCGGAAGATTATCTAAAACTTGACCTCACCTATTGTAAATGAAAAAGCAGCAAATAAATGATGTGTTTTATATAATTGTCTAGTCTAATTTTTGAAATTTTTGTGTTCAAATTCAATCTAGATTGAGTCCAGATCTAGTTATTGCTTCAATGAATAACTGTGACAACTGGTGACAATTAACTATTCTACTATTAAAGCCATTTTTAATAATGTGATAGAGGAAATTAAGTGGACATTTTATATTTTAATACAGTTTAATAGTGAAATGTGTTTTAGATTAAATTTCAATTAGGTGTTATTTATTTATTTATTTTTTCAGAAAGTGTGACGTACATGGGGGGGGGGTAAAAATGGACAAAATAGCGTGACGTACTTTATGGACGGCCCCTCATAGTAAAAAAAATTACAAACTATAACAAATAAACAAACACACTTTAAAATTTCAACTACAATAGGCAATCCTGCCATGACATCATTTATATGCTTATGCTAAACTTCTGTGTTGGTTTCACTCCCCTTTGTGTTGTTACAAGAGTTAACTTTTCTTTAATACGACAATGGAATGTTTTAAATTAAAATTCCATAAGTTGGTTAAATTTTAAAATTTAAATTTTCCAGCATTTCGGAAAATCGGAATATTGTATTTTAATGATTTTCTGACAACTTTTGGATTTTGTTTTTGATGGAACCTGTAAAAGTGTGTATTTTATGAATACTGTAAGTAAGTTGGTTTTTCATTATTTTAAATTGTTTTTACATTTTTCTTGACCTCAGTGTGTAGCCTAACTGTAGCCGCACACATGTTTTAGTTGGGCAGGTACACTAGGGAAGGGAGTAACCGCATGTCGTTGACATTTCTTGCAAAATATCTAAATGGAAACAATAAAGTAGCTTTCCTTGCCCCATAATTGATATTGAACATCATTTAAATTTTAACTTTTTTTTTCCTATTTTCGTTTAAATAGCTAACTAAACCAGCACATTCTCTCTTTTAAATGGCTAACTAATCCAGCACATTCTCTCCATTCCCCTCCTCATTTTAGTTTTAGCAGATGTGTGTTGTTTTTACATGGCCACCACTTTGGTTGCCCTCACCCGTGACCTTTCATGGGTTGTGGCAAACAAGTCAAGATGGCAGCCATTTGAAACACAGATATTCCGAAATGAATTAACACATTTTATAGTCTCAGAAAGTACGACTAAAGTATAGAAATTTTATTTACCGTTTATTTTTTTATTTTTTTTTTTTATTGGGTTTTACTGAAGCAGAAGTACCTACTCCTCATTTTCAGTGACAGGTCCCTGACTGTTATCTGACTGACAATAACGACAACTGCCACTGCTGAGAGACCGAATAAATGAAGGGACTGCTTTCAAGCTATGTAAAAGAATGAAATAGTGAAACGAGGTATGTGGAAGCTTGAAATAAGGTAACAGGACAAAAAACAAGGACGTTTCGGCATAAAGCCTTCATCAGCCAACAATAGAAATGAAAATACAACAAAGAAAATACAAGGACGTTTCGGCATAAAGCCTTCATCAGCCAACAATAGAAATGAAAATACAACAAAGAAAAGAACACAGTAGAAAACTCAAGCAGTATTCATTCGTCTCTCCGGAAGTGGGAAAACAGGAAGCCAAAGAGAGACCAATGAATACTGCTTGAGTTTTCTACTGTGTTCTTTTCTTTGTTGTATTTTCATTTCTATTGTTGGCTGATGAAGGCTTTATGCCGAAACGTCCTTGTTTTTTGTCCTGTTACCTTATTTCAAGCTTCCACATACCTCGTTTCACTATTTCATTCTTTTGCTGAGAGACCGATCGTTGAGAATGACATGAGTTGATACCCCCGCCTACAGTTACAGTGTACAGTTTCATTAACAGGTCCCAAATTATTTTTTTAATTGGTAATTTAAATAAATTAATCAAATTGCAATCTTAGCAAGAGCATATCATGCCTTTAGCGAATATCCTATATGCTTGTTTGGTATTAAAGGTGACCGCACGAAATAGATAGGACGTCGCCATTTTGAACATTGAAATATTAAAAAGTAGGCCGGCACTACGTACACTGCGGCGGTGTACATAGCTAAACCATGGACTTTGGTCTGCGTACACCGAGACGTGTACCTAGCTAAATCATTGTCTGTGGCCTGCGTACACTGCAGTGATTTAACTGGCATATCTTAAACGAAGTGGCTATTCGCACTCGCCATCACTCGGGTATCAGAAGTGAGAGTTTGGGATGAAAAACTATTTAAAATATTATTGTTGGGTTTGTAAGACAAAATGAGATAATTGAATGGAATATATGTTCGTAAACTTACTTCTTCAGTTTAACTAAAATAAACTACCACAAATAAAATCCGAATGGGATTTAGTCTAAAGGAACCCGGGTACGCATACCCGCGGTGTTTGCAGGCCTAGGACCATGGTTTTGCTAGGTACACCGCCATGGTGCACGCAGCCACTTCGTAAAAAGTATAAGCGGCCTTAAAACAAGGATCAAAATTCTGAAAGTTAAAAATAATTAGGTAAAATTACCTACCCGCTGCCCTGTACAAAAACTGTACATGCAGGGACCAGTTTGTAATAATGTCATCTGCTAACTTGTTAATTAATATATATCGCAAATCAACACCTTTAATAACTTTTGAAAAGGACTGACCATCAACTGGTAACTCTATAAATTTGGCTGCGACTATTCGTACCCGGTTAAGGTTAAAGTTAAGGGTACCAGACCAGAGCCAGAAGAGAGAGGTGGGGATTTAAAAAAATATTTAAATTTTATTGTTGGGTTTGTAAGACAAAATGAGGTATCGAATGAAAGATAATTGAATGGGCTATATGTTTGTTAACTTAATTCTTCAGTTTAACTAAAATAAAGTACCACAAATGACATCCGAATAGTAATGGTAACCCGGTGCGAATGGCAGGTCTGGGTCCATTTTGACTCAGTGATCAGTGCTAAGTGAATTTCTCTAGTCTAGGATTTAAATTGAGGATATTTGGCTGTTGTCCCAGCCATTGTTAAAACATCCTTCTTATCTAATATGTGAAAATGTGTTTGGTTTTAGAAACTGGAACTTAAGGCGTCCCGAGAGAATTTTTTGGGACACGGATACAATTGTGAAAAAATGGGACAATCCCATTTTTACAGGACGTTTGGTCACACTAAGCTAGGGAATACGGAACACACCGGGTGGCACCATCTCAGAGGTGACACCAATTTGAAAAATTGCATATTTACAGAGCACAGACTGCTCGATCTAACCGAATTTCATAAAAGTATAACCAATCACATGTAAATTTTCCACGCATTACCAGTCCAATTGAATGCTTTATTAAAAGTTATAAGTTGATGCGTCAGAAATGAGGTGACCCATGATTCAACTCCGATTAATGTCCTTGATAACTAGAGAAAGTGACAGGAAGCTATATTTATCTAAATTCTTAGAAATAAAGCTATTCCATTGATAACAATTACGATGTGGTCAGGTTATTCTAAGTACATGAATGGAATCGGTACAAAGTAAAAACATTAAAAAAATGTCTTTTTACCCATTTATAAGCTTTTAAAAAATAATATTTTAATATATGTTCTATCTTTTAATAATTAATTTTAATAAAGTAAACATTAATTTTTTTTTTAGTTTTTGAAACCAATTATATTGAAACCCAGAAATACTCAAAAATAAATATTTTTGTTGATTCGTCAGTAGTACCGACCCTTAACATTTGAGCAGAATTGTTATAGAGCACAAGGTCTTTTGCATGCTGTCTTTGATTTTCATGTTTATCTGCTACCTTTACCTTTGGGATGATCTACTTGAGGAAGTAATTCTTACACAGCAATTTCTGCAGTCAGCAGACTACAGGCTTTTCTCTTGATACTGTAGGCCTTAAGATTGTTTCTGTATGAGAAGTGCTGTTACTTGGTGGAACATGCTATGGAAAAGGCACTTTTAAAATCAGATCAATATGAAATTTCGGTGGAGAGAATGGCAGGAGAACATTGAATAGATGATGGACTCTCTCTGCCAGCAAAAAACAGTAGAGAGATGCTTAAGTGTATTGATCGCTTTCATTCTGAACCCTAGATCAGATCATAAGCAATAAAGGATGTCACAGATATGTTTGGGGCTGTTCAAGTGTTCAACCCAAGAGTCTACTATCAGCAAGTGAAGAAGAGTTATTGGTGTCTGTTCCAAAATTAAAATCTTACTATGATGATTTATCAGAAGATGAACTTTTAAAAGAAATACCAAGACTCAGAAGAAACTAAAGGCAGCTGATATTGAATTTCACTAATTCTAAGATGTCAATATTTGATGTTTTGAAATTTATAGCTGAATGTGACTTTCTAGAATCTCTTCAAATACTCCCGCTAAGCCTTCAATTATTTCTTAAGATCTGTGTGTCTCTGGCTTCATGTAAGCAGAGCTTTTCAAAATTAAGGCTTATCAAGAGCTTTTTACTATCCATCAAGGCTTTCTGATCGAGCCCTAATAACTATTGAAAGTGATTCAGTGAACTTTGATCAAGTGGTTGACAGGTTTGCAGCTTTGAAAACCAGGAAAGGAAAATTGAAATAAAGTAAATTTAATGTAAATATAACTATAACTTAACGTTGTTACATTTTTAAAATATATTTACACCCTGATCTTTAAATAATTTGTCTTATTCTTGTCATTGATATACTGTGGCCTTTAATAAGAAGAAATCCATTGTGGGGGGGGGGGGGGGGGGGGGGGGTGACACCACAAGTTTACCTCACCGGGTTACACCAACCCTAGCTACGCCACTGGCCTTTGTGATGTTTGTGTTTGTAGAATGCAATCATTGTATTATTAGTAAAGAGTTTTCTTACAATAAAAAAAGCTACTGTCTGTAGTATAATAGTATAGGAAAGTAGGCCCAAGTTGTTCTATCCTAAGTAGTAAGAAACATGTAATGTAGTTGAAGGAAATCAGAATTCATTTTTAACTATCACATTCACACACTAAGGCTGCTTCTTGGATGTAGCAGGATATATATAATTCTTTCCTACGAGCTATTTTCCTTTTTTTTTTTTTTTTTTTTTTTTTTTTTTTTTTTTTTCCTTAATTGTTAAAAAAATTTAAAGTAGTTGAAAGAAAATAAAATTTTTTTTTTAACAATAAATTTACACACTAAAGGTTCTTTTTTGATTTAGGAGGGTTTTTTTAATTTTTTTCCAAGAGTTTTTTTTCTTTTTTTTTTTTTTTTTTTTTTTTTACTAAGGCTGCTTCTTGGATGTAGCAGGATATATATAATTCTTTCCTACGAGCTATTTTCCTTTTTTTTTTTTTTTTTTTTTTTTTTTTTTTTTTTTTGTGGAAAAAAAATAGGTTTTGACTTGTTTTTTTTTATTATTTTTTTTTTTTTTTTTTTTTAAATTTTTTTTTTTTTTTTTTTTTTTTTTTTTTTTTTTTTTTTTTTTTTTTTTTTTTTTTTCTTATTTTTGAGAGAGAAAAAGTAGGTCTAGACTAGTGTTTTTTAATAATAGTTTTGCTTATTTATAATTCAAGATTTTAATTTTTTTTACAGATTAATTTTAATAAATTTTTCTACTGTAATCTCCAGGTGCACAACAAAAGTATTAATAACCGGTGGTCATGTATTAGAAGATATCATTTACCCGATACTCAAAGTGTTAAAACCTTGATTTGAAAAACTTTAAAATTAACAATGAATGGGCACATTATACCCAACAGCAATATCGCTGTGGATTTTTGGAAAATTAAAGGGCGTCAGGATAACCTAATTCACTTCCTTACTCACTTACATGGAGATCACATTGTAGGTTTAACTTCATCATGGAATAAACCCATATATTGTTCAAACATCAGTGCAGAGCTATTAAAATCAAAGTATGGAATTTCAAACAAGCTCCTGCATATACTTCCTCTCAATGAAAGTGTTGTTATTGACGAATTGCCATCTGGAAGTTTTTCAGTTACAGCTTTGGATGCCAACCACTGCCCCGGAGCTGTCATGTTTTATTTTCAAGGGCCTTTTGGAAATATTTTCTACACCGGAGACTTCAGAGCTTCAGAGAGTTTAACTGAAGCCTGCTTTGGCCTGAAAGGGAAGATAAATGTACTTTACTTGGACAATACATTTTGCAGTCCAAAATGTATCTTCCCTTCCCAGGAGGAATGCTTTGATAAAATAGTGGAGATTATTCAACAGCATCCTGATCACAGTGTTGTTATTGGTGTTCGAAATCTTGGCAAAGAGTTTATGCTCGGAAGACTTGGTGCAGCTCTGAATGAGACAATAGCGGTCACTTCCGAAATGTACAACTTGTGTAAATTCTTGTTGGATACAAATGTTTTTACCACAATTCATTGTCATGAAGGGTTTCGATTAAGGACAATACCATTACATCGAATCACTAGACAGTACTTGCAAGAGCTCAATCAAAACCAACCATATATAGCTATAATACCTACTGCCATATATACAGGTATGTTTATCTTTATCATTCAATATATATAATCATTGAAAAAGTGCCTCAATAATTATTTATTTTTATAATAAAAAATTACCGGTTCATTCACTTTATTTAATTTTTCAATCAGATAATGAGATTTGTTTGTAATTATTTTACAATTGAAGAATTGAACATTATTTTTTAAATTAGTCAAGGGAGAGCATTTTATTTTATTAAGTATAAGTAAAATTAATATTCACATTGAAACTTAAGACATTGCATTTGATGCAGGATTTATTTGTAAACACTTTCATTTGCTCTGGAATGTGATGCAGACCCATCGAGGAGAAGTAATCTTTTTAAAAAAAGATATAATTATATAAATGCTGTAAAAAAAACACATTTTTTTCATTTAAAAAATAAAAATGTTTAGATTATTTGGTCAGTACAGGAATAATTAAAATAATTGTTAAATCAATGTAAAAATTTGATACATTTTTCTCTATTTTTTAAGGACTGGGTTTTGATCCATTCGCCAACTGTCCCGACATCTTTGTAGTTCCCTACTCAGACCACTCCAGCTACACAGAGCTGCTTCATTTTGTTTCAGTGCTACAACCTACTCAGGTTGTCCCCATTGTGACAGGTTCTAAAGGACCTTTTTGCACAGACATCAGTGAACGAACTGATATGTCATGTTTTCAATCATTTCTTTCAACTGGAACAGCAGGACTTGAAAACAGCACTTTTGAAAGCCATTTACTTATAAATGATCAGTTTGAATCAATATCCAAATGTCAGACACCTGCTCACAGAAATTTACAAGTGATAAAAGATGTTAAGATTTATTGCAATAAAAAAGTGTGTTTAAATGATGACACAGAAACTTCCGTTGACATTATTCGGAAACGGAAGAGAAAAAATCCTCCATGTCGAATTAAGAAAAAAGCCAGAGGTGTTATATTTGAGGCTTCAGATGAGTCAGCAGACCAAAAAACACCCTCTCCAGAGCCTAGGAATTACAGCAGCATGGAAAACTACTCTGATGCAGTAGAGAGTGCTCTTGGACAAGGTTCTTGTGACACAACTGAAAAGCCAGAGTTTCACACCAAGTGTGCAAGCCAAAAACTTGGAGAGAATAGTTGGACAAGTGTGCAGCAGTGCTACAAGATGGACTGTACAGAGGAGAGGGTGGGTTTAAGCTTTCACAAACACCTGGAAGAAGAACAGGAACCCCCATCATATAAAGAAAAACAAAATGACTTCTCTAGTAATAATTGTAATAGATTTGGAGATAAATCTGGGCACGTCACATACCATGACCAAAATATCAATATGTTGGATGAGGATAAAGATAAGAAAAGTTCATTAGATTTGTTAGATTGTTCTGCTTCAGAGCCACCTATTTCATGTGCATTTGCTGTTGACACCAAATCACATCTTCACACAGAAAATACTTCAAGCTTTATTTTCTCATCTGTGGACTTCACATCTGTCGATGATATCCCAAAGGAAACATCAGAAAATATCATAACCAAGACACTCTCAAATCAGGAGTCACTGAAAACAACTCAGCGTGAAAATAAGGCACAAATGGTGTCGTCAAAAGTAAAGGAGATCAATACAACTTTGAATGTCATATTGAAACAAAGCCAAAGACAAAATGCATTGATGCCTTTGTGGCCCCTGTATAAGAATAACAAAAAGCACTCAGCAACCAGGGGCTGCTCCAATGCAGGCAAAATCATCTCTAACTTGGGGGATGAAGTATCTTCACACAGTACATTTCCATTTGGTATTATTGAAAAGGGAGCCAAGATAAAGAATTCAAGCATAAATTCACAATCTCCAGCTAACAAGTCTTTTATTGACTTACAGAATTCATTGGCCAATGTCATCCCTAAAACACAGGATTTAATTAAACCATATGTGCAACAGAAACTGCACATCTATACAGTACCATTGAAAAAGTGTCACAATAAAATCACTTTGGAAGCATCAGGATCCTTAGTTAAATTTGACAAGAACCACACAGAGAGAAGACTAGCTAATGTAAGAGAAATCGCCAAGGCTAGCCCAACTCTACAGTTATCAGATAAGGGGAACAATGAAACCAGTGACAAAACACAAGGTGCTTTGCCAGAGAATTGTTTGCTTCTTGCTGGCAGGGAAGCAATACAGATGAGGCCAGACCAAGAAATGAAGAGCAGTGGAAGGGACCGCTCTTTTGTGAATGCAATTAAAGCGTTTTTAGCAAAGAAATAGTTTTCTTTTTATTTGTTTAAAAATGGAAGAAATATCAATTTAAATTGCCAGTACCAGTAATTTTTTATATGTAACTAATGTATATAATTTGTGTGAAGCTGACAAAGAAAGCTTATTATGTTGTGCATACGAGGAGCACAATCAAGATATATTTATTAATTTTTAAGTCAGCCTGAATAAATTTATAATAAAAATAATCCTTATTAGTTGATGACCAGAATGATTTTTAGCGCATACTGATATGTTGTTGCTTTTTCTTAATTAAAAACTCAACAAAAATTCATTCCAGTCAACTAACTTTGTTAATTCAAAATGGGATGGAGGGGTCTCTTTGAATTAATTGAATGACATTTTCTGAAATAAAATATTTAATTATCAAATATATGTATGGCATATATATATAATTATATAAATTTAAGTTAAAGACATACATTTAAATTTTAACTCTGATTTATTTGTTACCGTACCAATTTTTGAATGAAGTTGTAACTTTATTATATTAAATCTATGTGCTAATGTAGGTAAACAAAATATTGATGTTTTACATCATTTTTTTAAAAATTATACACTTTTGTTAGCCTGCTGATTTGTAAACAAATGCAGTACTCGGCTACCCAGGGCCTCCTGTAGCTCTTTTAAAAAGAAAGATGCAGCTCCCTTTTAAAAAAAAAAGAAAAATGAAATTCTGTAATGATGTGGCTTTTGAAATATTATCTTACAAACATGTCTCCTTACTCAAAAAGGGATGCCCTCCCTTGAATTAATATCATAGAATAGAATATAGAACATCCCCAATGCAATTAGATTTTTATTCATGGTATTTCAGTGCTAGAGATAAACAACTTCACATATCCACAACTTGAAGATTGGGGGGGGGGGGGGGTTTTGGGTTTTTCCCCCTTTTGGGATTTTTTTTATTTCTATTTTTTTTTTTTCCCTTTTCAATTTTGGGGAAAAAGGGGGGTTAAGGTTATTCGAGGTGGCTAGAAATTTACCTGGCTGATAGATCTTTAGAAAAAACAACATAATTATGATAGATCAAAGGGCTGTCGTGTTGATCAAGCGTTGGAGCTCTATAGGTGAAGCAATATCTTCAGGTAACAAATTTACCCGGGAAAGGAAAAAAATTAGAATGCTTGTTTAAAAATATTTTTTTTTGACTTCGTTGGGAATTGAAAAACATGGAATTGACCCAGCTTTGACCGCACAGCCATTTTGGAATATTTTTTTTTTTTTAAATGTAATCGGGAACTACAAAGAAAATTATAGACCTATCTTCATTTTTTGAACAACTTCTGAGTTTGATATTTTGACTTCCTGAATAATGGAAAGAATTAATAAGTTATTAGTATTAGCAAAATTGTTATAGATTTTTTAACAATAATGCCAATATCTTTATTGAAAAGTCGTATATACAGCTTAGTATTAGTATAGCATAGGGCTTGGCTTATTTTTAAACCTCAACATAGAGCTATTTTTTAGCCATCCCAACTTGTCTGCTAGATGACCTTAATATTGATGCCACCATGTAACTGTGTTGTGTCACTTCTTCTGTGAATGTCCCTTTTTTGGGTGGTGATAAAGTTGTTTTATTAATGCATTCCGTTTTTTTTCTCAAGAATGACATTAGGTGACTCATTTGATTTCTTTACTGACATTGTAAGATTTAATTCCAATATAAAGAATGCCAGGTTACCTAGCAGATAGACATACCGGGTATCGAGACTTAGATATATATAGAAAGACAGATAAAGTAAAGAGAGATTTTTGCAATACAAGAAGTGTGTAGATTACTATTTGTATTTTGAGGATTGTAACTTTTTCCACTGGCTGTGTAAGTTGATAACAGTCTTCTGCTCCAGTACCATAACTCAAATTTTTAGTTATTTGGAAATGTATTTTATAAAATTAAAGTAAATTTTAATATCACTTGAGATAGTTCTCTTTAATTGGACATTGTTATTCTTAATTTACGTGTACTTTTGAGTATTAAATCTTGTGCTTTAAATCTAATTTTAATCGTGTTAAGAAAGTCTTTTCTATCTGTATGCAAAATTGAATTTCTTTCTTTTTTTCAAAAAATGTTGATTCATTTAGTTGTTTGTAACAATATCACTAAATCACAGAATTGTATTACTGGTACTTATATTATTCTTTAAAGGTTTATAATTTTACACCTGCGTTATTAGTTAACTTCCAACAATCTGTTAACGTCTTTACTTATCTGTCAGACTCCAGTCCTCTGTAAGTAATCATTTCAGAACATATTAATATTGAAACATGGAAATTTCTGTTGCATTTCCTAATTATTTTATTTTGTCAAAGCCATAGTTTTAAAAATTGTCACCTTGCAATTTTAAATATAATTTATTTTTAAAAAAACTCTTGTGTACTTCTTAAATCATTATTATTTGACTATAATAAACACGCAATGCTGATCTCTGACTGATTTGTTTCTTTAGTTTTGTGTTGAATATTTGATTAAAATCTGAATGAGTTTAAATAAACTTTTAAAGATGTGAAGTCGAAATGAATTAAAATGAGCTTTATGTAACAATTTTGTAGAACTGATACCGGTACACAAAGTTGTGATTTGCGTAAAACATCTCACACCACCCTTTACACAGTGCATGTCTGATCCCACCCTCTTTTTTCCCCACCCCTTAGGTTCGCTCTGTCAGAAAACATGAAAGTATAATGTTACATAACCAATATACCTAGGGGGACGTTGATGTCACTACGGCAGCCTTTGCTTGAGTTTTCCTGTCCGGGAGGTGTTTTTACACAAATCTGGTACACGGTGTACAGATCTGGATTATCTAACCTGGCACGTAGAGACTTTGACTCGGTAACTCGGTAGTTTACCTTTTGAAGTTCAAATAGTACGGCCACTGCGAGCTCCTCGGTTATTGAATTTATCGATTTGTTCCGCGGGTGGACACTTTTGATTTGAAGGGCAGCATTTTCGGCAAACTGCATAGTTTTCTCCTTGGGAGCGGGTGGCAAAAAATATTGGCCCGCCCCGGGTGGCCCTAACACTAGCTTCTCCACTGCCCCCCGACCCATTTTTGTTGTGTTTTTGTTTTGAGAAGTCCGCCTGGTTTGAAGATTAACTACTGATACTTGATACTCTAGGTATCAGTGGTCGGGAATCTATTTTTAGGCACAACCTCAAAATATGTTTGTTTAACTTTAACCCAGGGTTTAGGGAACTTGAGGAAATTACTCCAAATGGGGCAGAAAAGAAAATATTTTGTGTAGTAAGTGCTCAATCGGCATAACAATTTTATGTAATTGTTCTTTTGTTAATGTCATTTTTTCTTTTTGTTAACTTTTATATGAAGCGCGGTGAGCCTATCACTTGGCTGGGGTACCGCGCTATTTAAGACCACTCTTATAATAATACATTAAAAGCTCGTTCCTTTTTAACGAAATAACTTTTCTCCTGGCAACAT